AGCTGCTGAAGGTGAAGACAGAGGCCTTGGAACAGAAAGTGAGGCACCCCCTGGATTTCTGGAGGATTACACCCCTTCTCCATCCTCCTCCTCCTCCTGGCCGCCCTCCCAGGTAGGACCCTCATCTTCCCTCCCCGCCCGCGGAGATGGAGGACGAGCCATGGGGGGACCTTGGGGTGACTCAATTGTCTCCTTCCTCTCTCCCTCCCCAGGGCTGCGGGCGGCCGTGGAGCTGACGGAGTCCGGAGGGGGCACCGTGACACCCGGGGGGTCCCTCACCCTCCGCTGCAAGGCCTCCGGCTTCACCCTCAGCAGCTACAACATGGTTTGGGTGCGACAGGCTCCTGGGAAGGGGCTGCAGTTGGTCGCAGTTATTAGCACCACTGGTCGTACCACAGTTTACGCGCCGTCGGTGAAGGGTCGCTTCACCATCTCCAGGGACAACTCCCAGAGCACGCTCACGCTGCAGATGAACAGCCTCAAGGAGGACGACACGGCCACCTACTACTGCGGCAGAGATGCTCGTGGTGGTGGTTGGGCTGATGGTGGCCCCGTCCCCAACACCGTGTACCTTCCCTGTGCTCCATGAGGGCACGTTTCTGGCTCTGGAGGTGACCCGGAGGTTGGGGTTCTGCTCTGGGCTGGGGTTGGGGCACCATTAGGAGGTCCAGGCTGTGGGGGCCTTCACTGGGTGGAAGAAGAACGGTCTTGGGGACAATGGCCGAGGCTGAGGGCAAGGAGCTGGGTTGGGTGCAGGGGTCTGGGCTGGGGGGAAGAGTCCAGTCTGGGGTTTCGGGAGGTGCTGAGATTTGGGGGAAGAGCTGAGGGATGTTGGGGCTCAATGAGGTTGTGGCTGCCATGTCCGTCCTTCCTGGGCTGAGGACTCCAGAGCCGGACAAAGGGCTCCAGGTGAGATCTCCACAGAGCAGGGCAGAGAGTTTGGTCACGATGTGGGGGTCGGGGCCACCACAATAACCAGCACCACCAGCACCAGCTTCTTTGGCGCAGTAGTAGGTGGCCGTGTCGTCCTCCTTGAGGCTCTTCATCTGCAGCGTGACCGTGCTCTGGGAGTTGTCCCTGGAGATGGTGAAGCGACCCTTCACCGACGGCGCGTAGTTTGTGTAACCACCATCCTTGCTAATAGCTGCGACCAACTCCAGCCCCTTCCCGGGCGCCTGTCGAATCCATTCCATGCCGAAGCTGCTGAAGGTGAAGCTGGAGCCCGGGCAGGACACGGCTCTGGGCAGGAATTTGCATGGGAGGGGTCCGCCCCCCATCCCGGGGCCTTTAAAGACCCCTGGGTCCCACCATGGAGGCACCATCCCCGGCGTCCTCCTCCTCCCCTTCAAACCCTTCCTCTTCTCTTCCCCACCATGGGCGCCCACTTGGCCACCACCTTCCTCCTCCTCCTCCTGGCCGCCCTCCCAGGTAGGACCCTCATCTTCCCTCCCCGCCCGCGGAGATGGAGGACGAGCCATGGGGGGACCTTGGGGGTGACTCAATTGTCTCCTTCCTCTCTCCCTCCCCAGGGCTGCGGGCGGCCGTGGAGCTGACGGAGTCCGGAGGGGGCACCGTGACACCCGGGGGGTCCCTCACCCTCCGCTGCAAGGCCTCCGGCTTCACCTTCAGCAGCTTCTGGATGCAATGGGTGCGACAGGCACCTGGGAAGGGGCTGGAGTGGGTCGCGGGTATTAACCCCAGTGGTGGTAGCACCTACTACGCGCCGTCGGTGAAGGGTCGCTTCACCATCTCCAGGGACAACTCCCAGAGCACGGTCACGCTGCAGATGAACAGCCTCAAGGAGGACGACACGGCCACCTACTACTGCGCCAAAGCTGATGATGGTATTGGTGGTGCTGGTTGTTGTGGTGGACCTGACCCCCACATCGTGACCAAACAGAACCCCAACCCCCGGGGTCAACTCCAGAGCCAGAAACGTGCCCTTGTGGAACAGACCATCATCAGCTTTGGCGCAGTAGTAGGTGGCC